CTTTAAAGCAGTTCACTCACATAGGGAACCTTTGACCTTGTACTAAACCTTTCAGAATCTTCTGTATCCCATTCTTATAGCTGACCTGGTATCGCTATGGCTGAGACCAACACTGGCGGTCAGAGTATACCATTAAACCGCTATGCTCTTGTAGAGTTCACTGCTGTAACATATTTTCAAAGCCTGATTACTAATATATTATATAAAGTTGTTGTTTTATACTTCCAACTGGGTAAAGTTTTAATAGTTATAATAAAGATCCTTTTTTAGTTTTTATAATCTTTGTTAATAGTTTATTACAAACCAATTTTTGAAATAATGATCTATGTTCAGGATATTCTACATGTATACATTTTTTGCATACAGGTTTATTATCTTCTTTATAATTTTTAACATCCAATAATTCATAGAGTTTATAACACTTTGGGCAAGCAACATATTTAATTAAGATACCTAAAAACAATTTAGTTATAAACATGAGAGTTAAGAAACTATTGGCCTTATTTATTTTGAAATATATAAGTATATAGCAAATAAACTTAATTAATGCTTCTGTTTCAATATCAGATATATTAAAACATTGCTAATATTTCATTATCTATAAGATAATTGCTTTATTCTTATTACTATTAGCAAAAGTAAATAGTGGATCAAAATTTTAAGATCAATTTTTAATAGAATAAAATTAATTAGTTCATGACTTTCTTGTAAATTTTTTAAAGATTCACTTGCAGTATCATTTGAGTTATTTAAAGAATTACTTGGTAAAAAGAAATCATCAAGCTCTTTATCTTGAATTATCATAATATTATCATTATCAAATAGCTGATATATATTAAATAATAATAATTCTTCTAAAGATTCTTCAATATTTATTTTATTATTATTATTAGAGACATGCCATTTATTATATATTTTTTTCTCATTATATAATCAAACCCCCTTCCTCCTATGTGATAATTAGAGTTAGTCAAATCATTGATCAACTAAAAATTTGTTGGTTAAACTGGTCTGGTCAAATTGGCCAAATAGTCTGGTCAAATTAGTCAAATAGTCTAGGCTATTAAATAAATAATTTTAATATACAAATAAATAAACAAATATATTTATATACTTTATATATTATTTGACCAATTTGACCAATACTAAACTCTTTGACCAACTGGTCAAATTGGTCAAACTGGTCTGGTCAAGCTTGATTATTGACCAGTCTATGCCAACCCTAGTAATAATATATAAGGATTTACATTAAATCATGTGCATACTGGCTAATCAAATTGTGAGTTTTGCCAAACCCAATAAAATAAAAATATAAAAACATTGATCTAAATATACTAATAAAGTGTCAAAATGATTTTACTTATAAGTTTTACTTTCATTCCAATTTCAAGTAATGATAAATATTCAAATTACAGTATTATATCATTATGTAATTTGAATAATTAAATGTAATTTAATTTTTTGAATAAACTTTAAGCTGTTAAGCAGTTCCAAACTGATAATATATAATGTAACTTCAAATTGAATTAATTATATTATATTTGTAACTTTTGGTTTATACAATTTAAATAACTTAGGCAGTATAAGCATTTATCAGAATTTAATTCATGAATTATAATTAAAACAAGTTTTTTTTTAATTCTATGAGTTTGCAAGTTATAATAATCAGGTTTTCATAAATTTTATAAATTAAAACAATTTGTTTGCAAGGCCAGATATTAATACTTATAAATTTATTATGCTTATAAAATAATCAAATTTTGCAAATTGTATTCCATATATTAATTATTTAATTATTATCTAATTAAAAGATTATGAAGTAATTAAAACTCAATACGAATAAATATTTTTATAATTTGATCTATATTAATATTTTCAAAATAACACCCATATCCTTAAAAGTAACATTTTACAATCATGCAATTAGACAACAATTAAGTAGTTATACATATAAACTATGATTTACAAAATTTAATTAAAGATGCATTATTTTGCAAACAGTGATAATAAAATTTATATTCACAACTTAGTGTCTATATAATAAGTATAAACTAGAATTAATAAACATAACTTTGCCATCTGATTCTAATATTAATATGCATCGAAGCTGCTAATCTCAAAAGTCAAGTGATAAAATTTATAGTAATGCATATAATAATGAACAAGATAAAAGCAATGATACTAAAATAATTAAGATTACATGAAAGGCTGTGTGAAATCTAAAAAGAAATTTGAATTTATGTAAAAAAAAAAAAAATTAGTATAATATAATGAAAAGAAAATTAAATAAATTACTTTCTATTATTAAGCTCAAAGCCACATTAACTAAAATTTTCTTGTATCCACAATATAAGATTGAAACTTTATAATCATGTATAAGATAAAAGTAGTGATGCCCAAATAGTTAAAACTGCATAACAAACTATGCAAAAAAGTATAAAATCTAAAGGCAAATTTGAATGTTTTTGAATTCACATGAAAAAGAAAGAAAAAAAAGATAATTACTTTTCATCAAAGCCATATTAATATTTGCAGTATGAATAAACTTTTGTAAAAAAAAAAAAAAAAAAAATTATAAAAGCAGCATATAAATAAAATTAATAAAAACATCCTAAATTTAGGATAATAATTCGATAATAATATTTCTTACCTATATTTATAACTATATAAATAATACATTTGAGTTTTTCAATACAAATTTAAATTTTTCATCAAAAATTTTTAGAATTTAATAATTTTTTTAAGTTTAAAATGAGTTAAAGCTTCTTTTTAACATTCAAGTTTTCAAAAAACTATTTGTATACTACACCAAACATGTTATACCAAGAGTTCTGTAATGCTTTTGCCTACTTTATGATAGTTTAAGCTTCTAATCCAAATATAAAATAGCAGGATCTAATGAATGCGGCAAATAAGAAATAGAAAAAATATTGAAAAGAACCTAAAATAGAAGTTAGAAAACTAATTAACCAATATCTTACAACAAGTCCACCTATTATTTGAACAACAAACTTTTTTTTCTCTTCAAATTTACCTAATTCAGAATCATCAAATTTTAGTATTAATTTTAATACTAATTCTAGTATTAACATCTTATTTTTATCCAATGAGATGCCTACTATTGCTTCCAATGCATTAGCTCAATATCAAGCTTTAGAATTAATTTAAGAAGCAGAATCTAAGACAAAAAAATATGAAAGTTTATTAGTTCATACTAGTGATAAGGATTTTTAACATCAAATATATGAAAAATTAAAGGATGCTTGTGCAAAAATTGCACAAGAAAAAAAGCATTTTAATCTACTTCAACACCATGCTACAGCTCAAGAAAGACTTTAAGAAAAGAGAAAAAAACAACTTAATGATGGGGTTATTGAAATATATAATACTAGAGAGCACCCATCTGAACTCCAAAAAAATCTAGACTTGCTTGACCAAATACATGAATGTGTTGAATTTGGTGCAGCTGACAAAAAAAAAAAAAACTGTAATCAAAGTTCATACTATTAAGCATTTAAAAAATGCTTTATAAGAAAAATATAATACATATATTATTTGACAAACACTTTCAACTTATCTTTTACCTCAACATGCTAATACTCATAATGTGCTTCATTATCACTATTTTGCAAATATTAAAATTAGTGCAGTTTCTAGATCTGAAATGAAATCCCATATTGATGAACATTATTGTCTCACATTAGTCAAAGCAGTTAGAATGTTCACCTCAACCTTTGCCAACTATAGTCTTATCATCTCTTAAGATGATAAGGCTAAAGTTGGCTTAGATATATTAGCAGTTGACAGAACTTTTAGAAGCCTGCAATCTTTTAATGAATCTGTTACAGTATCTAATTATAATTTTCCTCATAAAGCAAAACAAAAACTCATACCTTTAGTTTATCTAATTATTAACTCTGATAATACTAATGAATCATTATGCCAAGGTTAACTGTTTATTTATATTTGTCCTGTATATTTTGCAAGAACTTCTTCAATATCATATATGAAAGTTTTACTTGAAATTACAAAGTATGATAAGTATTTACAAATACTAAAATATAAAGAACATCTTAAATTTATATGAATTTTGTTAGTAGACAATGGACCTGATGAAAATCCAAAACATTTAAAAAATATAATTGAATATTGCTGCTTGTTTTGTGAGCTTAATCTAAATTATCTGTCAGTTCAAACTTATGTCCTTTACCAGTTAGCATATAATCCAGTTAAGCAAAGCATGTGTATACTATCTGAAAAATTTGCCAGAATTGAACCACCTATTAATAGATTTGGGTCACATCTTAATAGTCAAGGTGTGACTGTAAATGAGGACTTGGCAAGACATAACTTTGAATTTGCTGATAAATGTTTGTGTGAAATTTGGAAGCATAATAAGATTCATGAAAAGCAGGTATATGTTGATTATGTTAGTTATGATGAAGACCTATTTCAAAATAATGAAAAAGAAATTTCTTTATAGTTATAGATAGAATATCATATGCAGATCTGCTATTATTTTCTTGATGTGTGAAAATGTTCAGACCATAATTGCTGTGGTGATATATATGTGAAGAAAGCATTTGATCTATTAAGAAAAAATAATAGGTTTCTTCCATCATTAACTAAAGGCAAAGATAATCATTATTTAAATCCAATTCATATTTTGCAATATATAGACAAAATTAAATTGCCTATATATGATAAAATATGTTCTTTAATATTATCAGAGATGTATTAAAAACTTTATTGCAATATATGTAACAAATATTTTTCTACTATAAAAATGATCTTCAACTATAAAAAGACAATCCATCTCAAAAAAACATGTATAAATCAGGCCTTTGCACATAATGATAATTCTAAACTTCTTATTGAATCCACAAATAATACATCATCTACTCAGCTAATCTTTTCTTTAAAATCTATAAAACTATATTTAACTGTGAAAGAAGTTATCACATTATTAGATCATCTTGATACTCAACAAATTAAATTAAGTAATACAGCCTTTTTAGAAAACTTCTTAAATCTATCTTCTATTGGTCTCTCTCACAAACTTGAAACTTCTTATTTACTAGAAACACTTTCTGATATTGAATAAAAACTATATGTAGCTGACTATTTATTTATTTCATTCTAAATAAAATTTAATTTCCTTTATTTCTTGTTTTAGTAATAAATAATGATTCAAGCTATATTATATAAAAGATATAAAAACAGTAAAAAAATTTCAATGCATGCATATATGTTTTATATATAATATTTTTGAAAACCATATAAAATATAGTTTAGTACCAGTATGATCATATGAAATATGAGAGGAATAGTTTCATTCAACTTTTTTAATATAGCTTATACCAATTTTTAAAAATTTCTGTTTTGATAAGAAGGATCTTTTATTATATGATTAGGCTCTAAGGCTACAAGGCTACAAGAGACTTCATATTTATGATTAGGCTTCATAATAATAGCAGTTTAAGAATCTAGTGTTTTATAAATATGCACTGTAATGCTAGAAGTACAAGTAGTTTTTTGTTTGATGATTAGCCAAAATAGGCATGATAGCACTACAAGAATCTGCTTTGGTAGTTAAACTTCATGATAATAGCAGTGCAAAGACTTTTTATTTTATAATTAGACCCTAGAACTGTAAAAGTAGAGACCAGAATAGGCTAGCCTACTGGCTATAATTTCATAACAGTAGTGAAAGGATCTACCGTTTTGTAAGTAGGTTTTATAACAATAGTAATGCAAGGGCTTTTCATTTAGTAATTAATTGGTATTATAACTGTGATAGCAGTGAAATATTTTTTGTTTGGTGATCAGATTTCATGTGATAGCAATGTATACTCATCTACTATTATATATAATATTAATTTTTATTTCAAAACTGTAAATTTCTCTTGGATGCATTTTTCTATGCAAAAGAACAAAAAATATGATATTAGATAAGTATTAAGCTGCTATGATATATATACTTAGTAATCATAAATATGTAATTTATTATTAAACATGAATAGTTAATTTAGACGAATATTTAAGTAGATACCCAAACATTTTAATGTAGAGCCTATGACTGAAATGCAGATTTTAATATATGTTTCTTTTTGTCATCTAGCCAAGCAATAATAATGAAAAATGTTATAATTAAGGCATTAAAATATTGTGTTACTTTTATTTTCATTTGTACTAAAGGTTTATTTTTTTTTTTTTTTTAGTCAGAAGATTAGCAAAGATTGAATTGGCAGACAGCTAATAAAATGAAACTTTATGTTTTGTTTTAAGTTGCTTGAACTTAAGTTTGATACTTGTTACATATGATCATACTGGTTTTGCACTGCGTTATATACTGTATAGCTATCCTAATTAGATAGTATATGCACTTTGTGCACTAAATTTCAGACCTGAATTTTTATATTAAAAAAATATAAAGTTGTAGTATATATTTATGCACTATAAAAAACTAAGTTATATTTTAGCATGAGTTAATTAATGAGATCTTAATATGGTATATTATATTGATATCTCTGTATAACAGGTAATATTATATGATTACAATGACTAATTAAAACTTTGAAGCTTATATAGACATGATAAACTGCCACTACCCTCTTCCTTCCTAATTAATTATATAATAAATGACATGCTCTTTAACAAATTAAAGTTGTTTAAATATATCTTTAATTGCTTTTTTTTTTTTTTAATGTTAAGGTGAGTAATTGTGACTCAGAAGTTTATTGATAATCAGTTGGCATATAACTATTGTGTATAACAGCTACAGAGGCAATCATGAAAAGAGTGTACAACTAGCCACTTATATAACTTTAGTTATTGTCTATTTTAAGTAGTCCACCCAAAGGTTTTACACTAGTTGCTATACCTAGAACCCATCTGTGAGTTCTCTATTTAAACACTCTAGTTTCTGTATCCACCCCTACTCTATCAACTGCAGCTATTGCTGCAAATATACCATGGTCATTAAGTCATATTTAACTTTATACTAAGTCCACTAAAGCCTTCTGTATCCCATACTTACAGCTAACCCAGTATCACTCTGGCCCAAACTATTACTTGTAGTCAGGGCTAACTATTAAACTGTTATACACTTGTAAAGTTCACAAGAACTCTAATATCTTCTTTTCCTAATTTCCATACTCCTACTTCTGAACCTACAAGACCCACAAGACTTTCTAAACTACCAATCCAGATGGCCTATTTGGCGAACCTGGTAGCCTAGTTGGTATATGCTCCTTTATACATATTGTTGTTCGATCCATCTAAGGTCTTAGTAATCTTTTTTTGGGGGCTTTCGATGGTTTAGTAGTACCATCGAAAGTCCATGCTACCTCTTTACTTAGGATTTTTAAGTGGATTTCTGACTTTTCGGTTTCTTTGCTTTCTATGCCCGGTGGTCTTATTATGAGTTTGTACTGAAGTCTTATGCAACACTGGTTATTAACATTCCTCTATATGGGTGTAATGTTACATTTTGTATAGATGCCCCAAGCTCCTATTCAAGATGATGCAACAAAGGTTACAGATACACAAATCCAACTGATCGACAGAGACAGTTACTATAACATAGACCTTATTTTCCAAAATTCATCATCCATAGGATTTGAACTCTAGACCTGCCACTTGGGAGTTGACAACCTGACCACTTCACTAGATTACTACACCTCTTTTAATTGCTTTTTCAATGATTGATAATTGTTTATTAAAGTTATTTTCAAGAAATGTATTTATAAAATCTGTGCTTGATTTCATATTATTTTCATTATTTGTTGTATTATCTTCTTTATCAGTAATACTATTTTCTTCATTTTCTAATTTATTGCTTTTATATAATTAATAGTACTATTTTCATTTTCTGATCTATTAGTTTCTATATAATTGCTATCAGAATAATTATTATCTAAATCTTTAACATTGCTATCTTTTCTTTCTGTATCTTCACTTTTTGAACTTTTACTTTCTGAATTATCATGTTTTGAAAGTTCAGAAAGTAGCTTTTCTTTATGCTTATATTTTGATAATGATTGTCTTTTGCTTATACTAGCACTTTCAATATTAGCTAAGACTATATAATCTTGTTTAGTTATAAGATTAATATATTTCTCATTACATCTTGGGCAATAACATTGTACTTTTTTTGATTTGTATATTGGTTCTTCTTTACTGAATGAAATTATTATTTATTATTATATCTTTAAGATTTTTACTAAATTTTTAACAAGCTGATGTATAGTGCAAGTGACTGTCTTAAATACTTTTTGTAATAAATATTTAATATATGTAAAATAATATTACTAATATTTAATTAGAGTAGAGCAAATAATATGTATATTTTAATTATAGACTAAATAATCAGAATTAAATTTTTTTGATAATATTAATAATGCATAAATGGTAATGCATTCTATAGCTTTTCTCTAAAATGCATTTATTTTTTTTCTCTAAAATGCATTAATTTTCTTTTCTCACTTTAAACAAATATTATAAACATTATACCAAATATAATAATATTATAAGTACAGATAGTTTTTTAAATATATACATAGAATTCTTTGAATATTTAGAATTAAACACTTCTTTATTATATCTTTTTAAGTAAAAAATTCTGAAAAAAAGCAAAGTTCTTTGAAAAGTTAAATGTGTTAAACCATAACAAGAAAAATTATTTAAATAATAAAAGCTATATTCTATAGAATATAAAAAATAAATTTCTTAACCTTTATACTTTATTTAATGTATCTTCTCAAACAAAATTATTCTAAAGTAATTATTAACTAAATACAGTATATAATATTAGTCATCTCATTAAGCATGATACACCAACTTAATATATTTAAATTAAAATACAATTACACAAAATTTTATATATTAACTTGCAATTAAATAAATATATTTAATATTTGAAGATATATAAAATATATTTATAAAAAAAAATTAAATTAATTTTTGATTATATATTGTTTAAAAAAATCTCAAAGTTAGTTAATTTGTTAAAAAAATTTTAAAAATTTAAAATTTTTTGATATATTTCTAAATTAACCAATCATAATTGAGTATTTTGTTATGCTACTATGCAAATAACTTGGTGTAACATTTATGCATAAACCTGCAAAATTTCAACTATGATTATTATACACGTCACTCTGGTTATACTGACATTCTTTAGGAATAAAAAAATTGTCGATATATCCAGATGTCGAATTAACAAGTGTCTCTTTTTATACCGACACCATATTGATAATATGTATATATGTCGGTTTAGCAAGTGCCTTAGTTTTTTTATTGGTGATGATTTATATGTACGAAGTATGTAGAGTATGGTTTACAGGCAAGTTAATGTGTCTGTGCAATTTGCAGCATCTGATTGGTCTATGTGACTCTATTCACCTCATATCATTATGCATTGTATGCATTGCCTCTGTGTTTGTACACGTGAGCATGGATTATCTGATATCCCATCTATGATCAGTACAACATAATCTCTTGTGTGGAGTATAACCATATAAATTAACAGATATTATAATAAATGATAGTAAAAGCTTGATTTTTGGGCATAAATACTGGTGGCCCGATGCAGATTTTTACATATGTTCAGTAGATATTTAAGATTTTCTGTTTTATTTTCGTCGAATTTTTATTAGGTGATGTAATAATAATCAATGATCATCAAAGATTTGAGTGAAAATTTTTTTTTGGCATGTTAGTCGCTGAAGAGTTGTGCAGTTTAGCACTAGCTGAATGTGATTTAATCACAGTCAAAAAGTTATCTGTCCGATATCAAGATAATAAGAAGTATTTGGCTTCCCATAATTTTTATCACATCCCTTATTGGGTTAGAATTACTTTATATGAAAAGTCATTATGAATCATACCTCCTGTAATCTTAATTATGTGTATTGAATCCTGTTTGTTCCCGCAGCTATTTTCACAGGGCCTTTAATCTATGCTATTGATTATTGTGAACTTTGCCAATTATGCTCTAGTAAATATTCAAAAATATCGTAATTGCAATAAGTTACAATTCGACAAGTCTGGCATTATGTATGTACTGTACCTTAGGTCTGATACAATGTTATTATACTTGTC